CATGTGATGCTAACCAGCTATTTTTTTTATTGTCCTAAATGTTTATACAAAAATCTTATTTACAAAAATCATAATGATGGTTAGTTATATTCATTTCATGACCTTTAATCTTTGTGCTATTTTGATGTTTGTGCAATGTTACTTAAAACCTTTAAAACTAAGAGTTAGAAAGGTTGAATGAATGTATCATTAGTGCATCGTAATTAATACGTTATTAGTTCTTTCTTCAGGAAAATTTATTATCTTTATAAATTTTAAAATGATGAAATCAGGAATATGAAAAATATCCATTGCTCTAATCTCCTTACCTCATACCGTCACTCTCATATCGCTCAGGTTCTTTGCTTTTTGTTCCTTCGTATCGTTTTCATTTTTTTAAGTGTTATACTGTTCATTCTTCATTTTCAATGATGCTCTAACATATTCCAATGCTTCTAATTCATATGAAGTTACTGTTATACAGAAGAGTTATCATTCCACCACACCTTTTTCTGATTACTTCATACACTAACCCAGTCACAGAACTTGCAATTTTGTATGCACAATCTGTGTTTATTCGAAATGAACAGATAATGTCCACTCGTTTTCACATAGGTTAATCTTTTAAGTACACTTAGCTTATAATTTACTTTGAGTGTTAACTTCGTTTCCTTTCGTGGTTCATAGCATTCCTGGTTCCCGGAAATGCTGAAAATATTAATCCATCGAAAAAATCAATTATGCAAAAGACAAACGCAATTTCCACTCCTCAATAGGTATAAGTTTATGGAATTAACACCACTTTCATTCAAAAACAGTTATTTCAAAATCGCACTTTTCTAAAATACAAGATGAAATAGAACAGTATTTCAACATAATACTGATTACTTCCGGCTTTTTAAAAAAGTTCTGAGTTTTTAAGTATAAATTTATCAACACTGATATGGATTCATACTAATCAGCAGCACATGTTCCAGAAAAAACCAAAACTTGATTACTTGCACATTACCTTAAAATTTAAAAAATGCCAGAAATAAATATAGATGCACTTCATTTTTAAAAACTAGCTACTGGTGATATGAGCAAATGATTCCCGTAAAAAATTCCATATGGTGAGACAAAATTAAAAGTCTGTCAAATAAAAAGCAATGAAGAGCTGGAAGGAATCACGATACACCGCAGGACGGTGTTAATTTGTAACAGGCCTTTAATTAAAACAGAAAGATGAAGCGCGGTAAAAATTGCGCATGGATAGCAGATGCATTCTTCATCTTACACAAAACCAAAGTCTTTGTTCTTGATAGCTGTTAATAGCTTCGATTTCAGGATCTTTTTGCTCGAGTACAGTGGCACATACAATCTAAAAATTTTAATTGAAAGCGAAAAGTACACCAACATCAAATGAAAAAAAAAAAACGAAAAACATCGCTTATAGTGTCATTTCCTAATTTTGCCTTTTGATAAAAAGTTTTACTCTTTTCATATAAACTTATTCTAAAAAAAGGTGTGAGAAATTTATCGGCAGTAAATTTATTATCACTTCTCAAATGGAACCAACCGGGAAATACATGTATTTGCAGTAGGTAGATGATCATCCACGGGGCGTACAATAACTGTTGGCATCGGTTGGAAACCATCTTCACTTGGTGGAAGTGTTGGCGAACCGGTCCAGAAGAAGATCAAATCCTGAAAAACCAAATGCAATTTTCAAGAAGATGATAAGCAAGAATAAGGGAAAATAGGGAACGGCAAGAATCAAGATATTTCAGCCAATTATTTAATTTGAACTAAAAATTTCGAAACTGATATGAACTACCCTGAATAATCATCTCCAATAATCAAAAACTTCAGTACTTGTTTCTCCTGATTATTGAGCTTGTTACATATTGACCAGAACCATCCTTTAAACTTCTGCAGCGATTCTGGTGATGCCGAACTTTCATCTGTGAATGTTGTGTAGCTCTGCATCAAAGCCATCGAGATCTGAATCAATGGAAAAAAATATATATACGGGTAGGCATCAGTCCAGTCCGACAAATAAATGCAACAATTGCCTTCATCAGATTGTAAAGCATTTATAAATTCTTCTGTATACGGAAAAATTTCAACTAAAGGGAACAATTCTAGTAATGCTAGAACAGCAAATTCAAGGAATCTTTGACCATTGTATTGAATATATATATTTATATATATACTTAACAATTATTATTTTATTAGCAAGTATCGCCGCTAAATCTCTAAAAAAAACCTCTTGTGTTCCACAAAGCAACAAACGTAAATCCTCGGCGGTCATATTTGCCAGCGAACCAAGTGGAATTACGTCATACACGCCTTGTTTGATAGCCTGAAGAACAGAATCAGGGAAAAATTCACAATCATTTCTATTCGTTTCGTTACACAGAAAAAGATGACATTCAAACTGCAAAACATAGACTCACTTCAAGGCATTTCAAATGATTTCCAAGCATTCGCGCTTCCACGAACAGATAGATATATTCCACAACATTTTCGTGGGTTACTGCAATATTTGCACCACTTGGTTTCAGTTCCACAGTACCTCCACCCTGACAATAAAGAAGTTTTTTCTTACGACACTGTGACTGATTAAACCATTATTCACCACTAAAGAAAATCTTGCGAAACACTGACTGCTTCCAAGTTCATGAATTCTAGTTTTTATACTCTTTTCATATTTTCCTAGGGGGAAATCATATGACTAATCATATTTTCACATACATTACTGGAAAAGACAAATCATTAATTTACGTTGCATTTACGCATACCAGCCAAATGATGCTAAGATACACCCATGAAACCAACCTGGTCCATCCCTTCGCAAATTACAAAGAGAAATGAGAAAAAGAGGTATTTAAGCAGATAACACGAAAGCTTAGTAAAGTTTAACTGGTCATTTTTGATATAGGATATACAAGGAACGTCTGATAATATCTTATCAAATCTAGTTTATTATAATTATCAAAATTATTATATTTTATTATATTATCAAAATATCTCTTAATATCCATTACAACCGATATAAACCACTTCCCGTTCATGCATCGACCCTTCCTCATCTTCGAACTAATAGATAACTTATAAAAGTTTCCTATGTGAAACACATAATGGAATTAATCAACCACTTTGTTAAATTTATGCATTTGATTCATTCGCTAAAACTGAGAGAACAACAAAAATTCACAATGAAGCACAACAAAAAACAACTATATAATATTTTACCTTCTCCATCTCCATCTTCCTCCTCTCCTAAATCCTCCATACATATAAGGTACGGCATTTCTAAACTAACAATATAGGAAAATCAAATCTTACCTCCTGTTCAGGAACAGCGACTTCGAAAGTTAGATACAAACTGTTAATTTGTTCAGGTCGGGTTAGGCCTTCATTAAATACCAATGTACGCATCGATTCGAACAAGACAGGATCATAAAAAGCAAGATCAAACCAGTTGATCGGACGTCCAAGTATGAATTTCAGCACATGTCGGCAAAGATGCATTGGAAATATCTCCATTTGCATCAGACAAATTCCGATCATTCTGTAAACGCCTGTGTTAATTAAAGAAATAAAGTAAACATCAATATATGATCCAATATATACAGCACACTCCCAAATTTGCATTTCTTTATTTATTATACATGAATATTTATTATTATACATGAAATCACTTACCTCCCAACATTTCGAAAAGCATTTAAACGATGTGTCGAGTTTTTACCAGCAATTGGTGTATAATAGCCAGTCCTACTTGGACAATAAAACAGTGGCGCTGTATCATCATCTAAGCTAATTGTGCTTGAGTCATTGGCAGCTGAAATCCATACGATATATATATATATTGAATGCACAAATAATCATGCATGTACTTTTCATCGATTGAAACAAATACATTCCCTTCGGTGTAATAACCTGCATCTTCTACAACTATCGTTTGTCACTTCGCCGTTTTCGTAGTGATAAGATTTGAAAAGTTAAGGCAGAAAACAATACGATTACCACTTTAATTGTTAGAGCTATTCCCGAAGCAAATTCACATCAACGGTACAAATAGTAACACATTTTAAATTCATACAATTGAGATTTGGGGTGCTAGAAGCACGTGCTATTGGTCCACTTTTTGCTTGCGCTGGTTGTCCGCGATTCGAGGATGTTGATTCATTAATACGGTCTCCGTCGCCGTTTCCTAGACCAGCTGCCTGAATCATTTCAGATGCTTCTTCCACTTGAGCACGAAGAAGCTCTTCACTAGCAAGTATCGTTATTAGTTGGTGTGGCTGAAGATCCAGCAACATGCCCGTAATTTTGTTACATAACTGCTGCAATTGGCTCAGGTAATTGCAAATAAAATGTGTAATCCCAATGAAACTCATATGACTAGCATTCTCTTTTTCTAGCAGTTATAAATCTGTAAGAACTTAAATTTGCAAGAGAATTAAACTAAAAATAAGTCTTAGATATCCTTATATATTCCTCAAAAATTTTGAAATACTGAGGTTACCACAGTTTACAGAAAATCTTACCGGTCTTATTGCCCGAACTCTTGACAACAATCTTTCGCCTAGCGTTTCTCTCTCAGGCTCCCAGGCCGTTGGAGCTTGAGACGTTGTTAGATTATCAATATTAGATGGTGCAGCTGATTCACCATCACCTGGTGGTTCATTAAGGTGTGGTTGATGTCGTGAATAATACGAAGGTGAAGAAACAGATAGGGTATATCGGCTGAAAATATTATGAAAGTAATCGTCCGTCATTTTTCCTTCTGTTTGGATTACCATATTTTTCGGCTATTTTAGTAGACTGCAAAGCTTTCTTCCACGTTTCATATATAATTTTCTTGAA